CCATGATCCCCGTCTCCATTATCCACAATACAGTGATTATTTTGTATTGAGCGCCTACTATGTGCCAGGCCTTTTACATACATGACTTTCCCACTGAGCCCTCACAACCGCCCAGAGAGCCTGCTCTTTGCAGATGTGGCTGGCTTGGTGGCAATTCAACCCCAGGCTGCGGGCCTAGTGGCCTTTCCCTGCCATGGCGCAATCTTGGAAGCGGCAACTGCGGGGAGGGTGAGGAGCGGTGCAGTTTCCGCCGCGCCCGCCCGCGGGGAAGGCAGCCGGGGGTACCCGAGGGCTCGAGCCGCGGGGGGAGCAACAGCTGTCGATGTCGCACCCGGGGACCGCGCCTCCGCTGGGCCGACCCGGCGCCGGGGCCGAGAGGAGGGGCGGCGAGGGGCGGGGCGCGCGGGGCGGGACGGAGGAGGGGCGGTGGCACCGGCGGCTCGGGCTCGGCGCGCCGAGGAAGTCCCGCTCCGAGAGCTGCGAGCGTCTGGAGGAGGCGCGCTCGGCGCAGTCGGGGAGCGAAGTCCGGAGAAAGGGGCCCCCGTGCTGCCGCCGCCCCCTCCTGCCACCGTCCAGCTAGGGAGCCCGCGGCGGCCGCCGATGGAGTTCACTTGAGCTGTGATCCGGCGGGAGAGGCAGGCGCCCGCGAGCCGAGCGCGGGCCGGAGCCCAGCCAGCCCCGGGCGCTCACCCGCCAGCCCGCAAGCTCCGGCCAGAGGCGCCGCCGCCTCGCGCTCCGCAGTTGCTGCGCCTCCCGGGCCGCGAGCCGGCGAGATCCGCACAAAATCCAGACTCCCGGAGCGGCTCCCTCCAGCACCGCGGCGGGCCCAGGACCAGGCAGCCCGCGGCGCGGCTGGAGAGGCGGGACCGGCTGTCGGGGAGCCCCGGGCGGCCGCCGGGGAGAAGCCGCCGCGCGCCCTCCTCCTCCTCCCTCTCCCTCCTCCCTCCCTCCGCACATGGTCTCCTTTGTCCTGTCGCCGCCGCCGCCGCCGCCGCCTCGCTCTTAGCTCCGCGCGCCGCGGCGGCGGCTCGGGCCGCTCCTGTCTGCCTCACCCTCCCGCCGGCCGGCCCGGGACGCGCCTCGCTAGCTCCCGCCGCGCCAGCCCGGCCCCGCGCGCCGCAGGAGCGGCCGCGAGACAGTGGCGAGCGCGGGCCGGGAGATCTCGGCGGGCGCGCTCCTCCCGCCGCCCGGGGCCTCGGCCGCGCTGGATGTGTGCGCGCGGCGCCGGCTCTCCGCGGCGCCGAAGCTGTTGCCCGGTTCGGATCTGGTTCGGGGCCTCCGCTCTCGGACTTTGGCGAAGAAGGAGCCCAGAGACTTGTGGACGGAGCCCGGTCGAGAGTTGGGCGTTTTCTCTTCGTGTGTTTTGGTGGTTTCCCCCCTGGTCTTTGACGATCGCCCTTCGGGAGCCCTGCTAAGGAACCAAACCATGAACTTGGGGCTGACCGGACCGCTTAACCCTTTGCGACCAGGTAATGCAGTCCCCGGGGCGCGGCTCACTCGCCTACCGCCCGCGGTCGGAAGGGAGGCGGCCGGGTCGGGGGTCTTTTGTTGCGGCGGCCGGGCCGGCGGGCAGGGGTGGCAGGGGCGGGCTTCTCGTGTCTGGCGCGCCCAAGCACCCCTTCGCCACCCCTCCTCCCTCCTTTCCTCCCCGCTCTGTGGCCCTGTCGCCCGCCTTTGTACTTTCCTCCCTCGGCCGGCCAGGCTCGGCCGGAGCTGCGCGGTCGTGCCCGGGAGGGCCTGCCGTTCGCCGCCGAGCTCCGATGTGGGGAGGGGGCCGGGGCCTGCGTCCGCTTGAGCAGGGGGCCCTAGCGTGGCTCTGCCCGCTCCTGGGGTCGCGCTTCCCCCGCGCGGAGGTCGGGATCCCGGCCCCATGCGGTTCCAAGGGAAGCGAAAGAAGATCTGGGCTCGGGTTCGGCAGCAGGAGAAAGAACTCGCGCTTAAGTTTTCAGGAGGTTTCTGTTCTCTTGTTCGAAAGCCCCTCTTCCCGCCTGTGCGGGTGCGGAGGCCGGCCCCCGGGGTCTGCGTCCGAAGGGGGTGAGGGTGGACCTGGAGCAGGAACCGCTGGGTCCCACCCTGTCTGCACGCACGGCTTTTATAAGTTTTCCTCATTCTCCGCGTTCCCGCCTCCAATCTGTTTCACTTACTTAACTTTCCTTTAAACGCCAACGACGGCTTCTAGCAATATTTTTTTACATCAAAAAAAAAAAAAGAAAAAAAAAAAAGGGTTCCCCCTCCTCTTAAATAGAAAGCGGCCAAAAGAGAGCTTTGGTTTTCTGTCAGTTTTAGATTCAACCACTTCATGCCCCTACCCTCCAAAACCGAGCGAGGGGGTGAAAGGAAGTGAGTAAAATCTTCAAGTCTGTAGTGGGTAGAGGTGCCCCCGTGTTAGACAGAAGGAGGAGCTCAATTCGTCGGTTCATTCTGGGCTCGCCGCTTTTTCATTTGAATAATAATTTTAAAAAACAAAAGCCAGGAAAATGGTCCAGGTAATAGAAGGAAATGCAGACTATTTTCTGAAAGCAACGAAAATAATGAACATCTCCAATATTAAGACCCAAGGAACCAAATCATTTGTACAAATGCCCTAAAACACTAAGTAGAAGGAAAGTTCATTGAGGAAAAGGAAAGGGTACTCGTGTCGCTTCCCCTAAAGATTTTGGCTAAGAAGCTCTCTTCTGACTTATTAGGACAGTGGTCGGCCATAGTTGTAACCACCTGGATAGGAGAGAGAAGGGATCCAGAATGTTTTCACGATCAACCAGAGCCCCATTGCAGTGGTCATCTTTTGGGTATTTTTCTGTGTAGGCCTTTCTGAGACACCCCGTTTCCCAGTTGCAAGAGGCATGGTGTCCAGCCTTGTGACTTGTATCAGCCAAGTAAGGGCTCAGAAAGCTTTTAGTCGAAGATACACTCCTAAGCCTCTCTGAATATCCGGTCAGACTTACTTCCTTAATAACTTACTGGTCGGCGTCATAATAATGACATCCTTAAGTTTGGTTCAGACATTAGGATCACTTAAGTGTCTCTTTGTGAAGCCCATGTGGAGCTGACAAAGGTGGCAGAAGCAAAAGGCCTATTCACCCACAACGTCTGTCCTTTTCACTCGAACACACACACACACACACACACCAAGTGCAAATAAAAACTTGGTCAGGAACCATTTCCTTTCCCTGTTTATGCTTTTTGCATTCAGAGACAGTAATTTGTTTTTATATTTCTTGGGGCCAATTAGACTCACTTTAGTAGGTAATCCCAGAATTTTCAAAGGTTATGTCAGTTTGGTAAAACACTTTAATACACAGATTTTTTTTTTTCCCTTATATCAGTTCATTAATTTTGTGAGCCATGAATTTAACATGAATTTACATTCAAAAAGAATTCCAACCAGTTCTGAGAAGCACTTTTTCATGAAAGGATGGTAAAATACAGATATCTTGAGTTTTTAGCTGGGAAACTCACATTGCTAGAAATCTCACTGAATATTTCAATATAGCATCATCATGTAATTTTTGGCTTTATAACTCATTATTCTTGATCTAGGTATGACTTGTTTCTCCCCCATTAACTTTTTTTTTTTGGCAGTTTGTTTTTATGTAAAGGTACTGTTACGTATAGTTTAAGATATCAGGAAGGCCCTCTGTATTTTTCATTATTCCTGCAAAATAGGAAAAAAATCTATCTAGGGTTTATGGTAAACTGCATGTATAAATATGTGCACTCAATGTTTGTTTTGCACATACATTCATTTGTGTCAGGATTTGTTAATCATATGAACACCCCCATAAAAGAAATGTTAGAATTAAAGTGAAAAACAGTCTTAATAAAAATATTTTATCTTTCTGTATCACTTGCATTGAGAACTAGAACATGTCCCCCAGATGTACACAGGAATATTTCATCTTTGTCAGTATTACATGGAAGGACTAAATTGAATATCCTCTTTGTCCGTAAAAGCTAGCCCCATAGTCCAAATATGCTGTGCTTCAGAATTCCCACTCCCCCTATTTCCTATATTTCCTTTTCCATAGTTATTCAACATTCTAGGCTTTTGCTTTCTCAGAATATGCATCTCTGTTTATCAGGTGTGAAAGATGAGTGATTTCTCACGAGGGTTATGTAGCAAAATCCACAAATATAGCTTGGCCATTATAACTTTAAATGCAGATATATCCTCACGTTATGTAGTGGAGATGCTTAATTTTTAATTTTCAAGTTCTAGAAATACTCAGTGCTTCTGAAACATTACAGCATTTTCCTTCAAAGCGACTTCCATGTTTATTTTCCAGAACATTAGTGTATGATTTAAATTGGCTTTAGTTTTACTGTTTAAACAGGCTTATTTCACCTTCCTCGAGCCACTGTAATAATTAGCAGACATGTTCTCTAGAAACTGGAAAGGAAATAATGCTGGTGGTACACACAGTGGTCGGATTTTTGGGCAGGCCGGCTTGCGTCTTTTTGAACACCAAGGTCGTCTGGTTACTGGAAGGGACAGGGATCTTGGAGTCATCAGATGAATCTTTTAAAAAAAATTAATTTCTGGCAGTGTTGGCTTACACTTTTTAGTGAGGAAAAGCTTAGCGTTAAATAATAGGCATTTCTGATTTGTGAAAGAAAATTGAAAAATAGGCATGTCTGCAAATACCACGAAAAGCATACCATTTCCAAAATAATGATCTGTCAACGAAATTGCAAAATCATTGTGTGAACGAGCTGAATTGCTTTGTGTACCATCTCATAGAAATATGTTTTGCACAGATAATGTGTCTAATAAGGACACATTTTTAAAATCTGATTTTTTCCCCCCAGCAAGTAGCTGCACTGCAGGTCTCTCTCAGGCAGTCAACTAGCACCACCTTATGGATGATTTGGGGACATTGCTGCGTCCCTGCTAGGCTTTCGTAAAATGTAGTAAATTGATTTAAAATAATGGGAATGGTGATGGTGATGACAATATTAATGACAATAATAATGCGTTTTTTCCCCTTCTTGTTTTTCAGGCATCGGATGCCAGCTCTGAAAAACTCTTCAACACTGTTATTGTAAACAAAGGTAAGACCCATTCATTCTCCTGAGTAATGGCTTATTTTTATGTTAGTTTCATTGTCATTGCCTAGGAAGAAAGAAGAGCCAGAGTGATCTTTCTCTTGTAATTCTGAAGCTACTGTTGATGTTTTGTGTTTTTGCTTGAGATGGAAGTCTGCATACTTTGTGATGCATTAACAACCAGTTTATTTTAAAAGAATACATTGAGTCCCTATGTAAATAGATTTGACTAATCACTACTACTATGTGACTTTAATATAGAAAGCTGTACTAGAGAAGAAAAGTTCTCAAAATGCCTGAACTTTATTGTTACTTATCAACTACCCAGCAGTAGGAGAAATATAAATAGCTGATGTGCGATGCACATTCTAGTAATCAGTGGATGTTTAGAATTCACAGTATTATGGTCATAAACCAAGCCTTACTCTGCTGTGGGCTTTCTGTAAAGTTAATAAATGAGCAAGAGGGCAGAATTTAAATATGCACTATCCCATTAATTTCTTCCAAACCACAATCTAGAGTAAGAGAGGCTAATGATATAGCAGTACATTAAGGGAAAACTAACCTTAAATCATCGCCAATAGGTGTCTGCGCAGTTTTCATTTGTTAGCAGTATTGTTGGAAATAATGAAATTTAGGGGAGTCTCTAATCACTGGCTCTGAAAGGTGTATAATTTGAAAGGTACAAACCATATAAACTATTTAATCTTCCCCTTTCCACTATCGAGCCTGATTTAGGGGCTGGCATGATAATTGCTCAGTAAAGATGTGCTTTCTGTGCTAATCTCTTTCTGTGTTACATAGACGACACTTGGTAACACTTGAACAGACTTGGGCCTTCACAAAGTGAAATTTGAGACCATTTCAGCCTTCTGTAGTTGCCTTGGCTAGCATTTTTGCTAGCTGGTTAGTAAGACATTTCCAAGTGCAGTTATTTTGAGCTCCCAGATTATTTTAGAATTTGAACCAATTGCAATTTTAAATAGTACATTATGTTTAGAGTTCCCTTGAGGTGTATGTGATTGCTGTTACTCCCAGAATTACTGTCATATTGAATTTTATCTTTTTTTATTGCCTAATGGAGTATTCCAGTTTTATATTTCATCATATTTTTTGATGGACTGAAAGTTTGTATAAATGTGTTATCCATAATGCTAAAAGCCCAATAAAAGAAGATGTGCCATTCATAGCATACAGTGCTCATGGGTAAAAATGCACCATTGTCTACCACTTGGTGTGTCCTTGTGAGAAAGGAGGGTGATGGGAGAGTGAGATTGGGGTAGAGGGCAGGTCACCAAAGGCAGGGCTTCTTCGTTTCTGCGGCCCTCCAGGACCTCTGCCACATGTGACTGTGTCTGTCTTCTGCTGATTCGCTACTAAAAGCTTTGGAATGTATTTCCCCTTTCTGGGATCTGGCCCTAAAATAAGAGTCGGCTCCAGGACCTGCACTCTGGCCACCACTGCCCTGAAAGACTCTCTTCAGGGCGGATGAACAGCTCGCCTTTGCCTCTTCCCTCTGGTTCTTTCCCCCCTTTCTTTCCTTTTCCAATCAAACGTTTCCCACATTCTTATTTTTGTTTACTTACAGAGTGTGATTTGTGGCATCTATTTGGTTGTGAATAGCCCTCCCCCTGACAGGGTGCCTTTCTTCTGAGCTGCTTTTCTGGGGGTGATTTAGTTGCCTTGAAAGGATTAAGGTTTCTTTGTGTACACTAAAATCAACATAGGCTTTTTCTAAGCTTTGCTTGGGAAACCATACACAAATAAGCATTTTAGTTGATGGCAGATTATTCCTTTGCCCCTTATTTCCATCAAAATGGCCTTTCTTTTCTCCTCCAGAGTTTCCCCTTAATGCCTTATGCTAATTCCTGTTGGTAACATGAATGACAAGAGACGGAATCAGTGCGAATCCAGGTGGTGCAAAGTAGACTCAGTGGTATCCAGCACCCCCTTCCTCCCTGGGGAGAAAGAGATTAAGGGGGGTGCGGAGGGGGAAAGCATCGGGAACAGTTTTGTTAAGGGGATTAGTATTCAGACTGCTAAATATCAGGAAAACAACTTCAAAAAGGGATTCATTGTGTAGTGATAATGTCAATAATTGCTTCAGGACAGGTGCACAGTCTTGTTATAGGCTTGTGGTTTTGGGGCTGTTTTTACTCCGGGTAGTGGCAGTGTTTACAGGATGGATGGCTGACAAGGCCTTCAAGGAACTGTCAGCTTCATGCACATCAAGTTCAAGTTTTCCTGCAAGGCGGCTTGCGTGCCTGAAAGTCAGGTCTCCTGTCTTTGTCCAGTAACTTTAGCCAAGAGCAATAAAAAGCATCGTAAGAAAGGGCAAATTTACACCAGGTAACAAACACAACTGGGGAAATCTTCAAAGCCCCAGCTTATGGGACAATCTAACCGGAGTACAGGGGAGCTGACATGTGTATCCCTCCACCTCCAGATGTTTAAAGTTACACATCACCTCTCCCTCTCAAGAGGCTGGCAGTATTCTGGCCTCAGAGGAGCGTGGCTTTAAGCTGCTGGTAAGATTATGCTGCTGAGCCTGGTGGCAGGCAGATTTGGTCCATAAAATTTCACCGTGGGAGGGCAGTGCTAATCTCACAAGCTGATTGTGGTGGGGGTTGGGGGGTGCAGCCTTGATGTTAGGCTGCACAGTGTGGAGATGATGCTCAGGCAGAGGCAACAGGGGCCATGGCTCGAGGCCCATCAGTCAGCTCGTGAGCTTGAATAAGTCATTTACCGTCTTTAGGTCAAGATTTTCAATCATAACAAAACTTATTCCTGGGCCAACATCTCTGGTGGGGATAAAACAATTAATTGGGAAGGGGCAGGAGTTGAAACAGAGTGGGTACAGTGAGTATATTTTGTATCACTTTTGTTCATTGATTTATTTGACTTTCCCTGTGTTGTAGACACCGTCCAGTTTAATAGAAATGTTTGTGTTTAGGTGTTCCGAATGGTCGCTTTCTTCTGACGCGTTTTATTCCCTGCTTTAAAACAAGTTAATCAAACAGCACGTGCTTGCATGTACACACAACTTGCCCAATGAGGCCTGAGCATTTCGAAAGGGATGTCGCATTGAGCAGGGCTTAGCATTGTAGACACAAAAAACAGTTTAACTTTAATCAAGGTCATGGTTGCCGTATTTAATCTTTATGTGTTTAAATGTTTACAGGATGTTCATGTGAATTTTATGAATCCTTCTGTCTTTGTGACTCAACCATCTGCCAAAGAAAAAATTAATTTTCCCAGTGAGACAGAGGCACAGAGAGAGACTAACTTAGTGTCCCTGTTTAGTTGATTGAAATGCTGTAGGAGCAACAGGACCTGTACCCCAAAATCTGGGGTATTTATTCTAAAAAGGAACTTTCAGTCTGTTCAGCATGGCCAGTATTTATTATCCTCTCTTGCCTACCGTAGATCCTTGGTGGTGTCACCAGTTTGGTCTGTAGACAAAAGTACAGAAAATGAGTTCTTCTTTGCGCACACAATTATCCTGCCAACGTAATGAATCTTTCCTAAAACTCTTGGATTGCTCCAGAGCAGAGCTGCTTGAGGAGGAAAGAAAAGAAGGGAAGCCTGTCTGGGAGGAAAGAGAACACTAGTAGGGTGTCAGGAGTTCTGCGCAGCCCTCTGTTTCTAGGATGCCAGTCCTGGCATGTGGCCATGGTCTAGGTTAGGGGAAGAGAAAGATCCCTGAATCACTGCCTCCTTGGTTCAGAGCCCTCCTTCCCAGGATTTAGCCTGTAACCAAGAGAAGTCATAGATAGACGATGACAAGTCAAGTCATGGATAGATGGTGAGAGGGGCACCATGGTGTATTTTACCCCGTGACTTTCTCACCCCTTCTTCTTCCTTCAACTTTGTCTCAAGTTGAAGAACTGGGTCCTCCTGGGGAAAAGCCCCCTGCGTTAGCCATCAGGGAGCTGTGCCCAGCTAAATGGGCATTTCTGAATGACTTGAGGGCGTGGGTTTCCTGCAGCAGGGAATGAGGCACCTCATTCTGCTTCTTTCTACTGTGAGCACCCAGTGTCTCCTGAAATGTGAACAGCAACAGAGCAGCTGCTCACCCTCGTAGGCAGGACCCCACCTCACCTCCATCAGCCTGGGAGATTCTAGTGGACACTCACCAAGAAGAGCACCAGATGCAGCACTCTGGCCACCTGGAGCCCTCTCTGACCAGTACTGCTTTTCCTCTCCCGGTCTCTACCAGGCCTGTTAGTGGAACACACCCGGCCTCTTCTTGGGATTGGTTTTGCACTGAGAATTTCCAGGGGAACACAGATGAGGTTGGAGCCTTTAGGTTAGTGGAGCCTTTGGATATTTTTGGCGGTACGGTTCTATCAGCATTATAGAAAGAAGACCTAGCTTAAAAATTGCCTGAAATCTGAGGAGATGAGGTAAGAAACAAGTTACCCAGAGACACTGCTGGCTTAGTAACCAGGTACCTAATTCTTCAATGGCAACCATATGACCTTATTCTTTAGGTTTAGACACAAGGGATTTCCTTGGTTTGGTGACAGAAAGGTAAAAGTCATATTGCCATCAAGGTCACCATTGACTTTTAAGAAAAACCCATTCTCGCTGAGCGTGGTCGCTCACATGTGTAATCCCACAACTTTTGGGAGGCTGAGGCAGGAGGATTGCTTGAGCTCAGGAGTTCAAAACCAGCCTGGGCAATATAGCAAGACCTCATCTCTACTAAAATTCCAAAAATCTAGCTGGGGTTGGTAGCGTGTATTTGTAGTCTCAGCTACTTGTGAGGGTGAGGTGACAGGATCACTTGAGCCCAGGAGGTCAAGGCTGCAGTGAGCCCTGATTGTGCCACTATAGCTGGGGCGACAGTGTGAGACACCATTTCAAAAAAAAAAAAAAAGAAAGAAAGGAAAGAAAGCCCTTTCCATGAAATAATTCTGAGCATGAAAATAATGCAGTTGACTGTGGAATAGCTTTCTTAAGAAAAAAATTTGGTTTAGAGTTTAAAATCCCTTTATAATGAA